GGGGGGGGGGGGGGGGTCAGGAGGATGCGGCACGTGTGTGTGTGCGTGTGTGGTGTTGCTGTTGTGCAGCCGGATTTGTCACATGAGGATAAGAAGGACATCGCCGACCTGGTCAGTGAGCTTGACGGAGAGAGAGCCGGCTGTGAATTCATCGCACCGATTCAGTGGTTCGGCCTCTGTGTGTTGGTGTGTTTGTAGGTTCTTGCCAAGGGCGTGGAGGGCCTCATCGTCTCAAACACCACAGTGCGCCGCGCCCGCCTCGGAAGGAAACTACTACAGTTGGTTGGTGAGTTCCTCATTCCCTGCCTGTGTTGTGTTGTGTTATCTCAGGTTTCTCGCCCGGAGAGCCTCAAGAGTCCCAACAAGACAGAGGAAGGTCAGCCGCCGACCAGAAATGTTCACACACCGGCAGACACACAAACACACACGTCACGTCGATTTGTGCTTCTTTCTTTATCCGTCAGGTGGGTTGAGCGGCTGGCCGCTGAAGGAGATGTCGACAGAGTGCGTGCGGGACATGTACCGCCTCACACAAGGCAAAGTCGACATCATCGCGGTCAGCGCCATGCATGGACGCCACGCCAAGCTACACACGACAGACGCACTCTCCCGCATCCCCGTCTGTCTGCCTGTCTGTCTGTTGTTTTGTGTCGTGTCATCCATCGATTCATTCCTTTCAGTGTGGTGGTGTGTTCACTGGACGTGATCTGATGGAGAAGATCGACGCCGGCGCATCGGCAGTGCAGATCTACACATCCATGGTATGTCAGTTAGTCAGAACCAGCCAGCCAGCCCCAGCCAGCACCACACCTACGTCGCTTCTGCCTGCTCGGCTCATGCATGCATATGATATGTTCATCCCATCCACCACCCTCCCTCCAGGTGTATCGTGGCCCCTCCGCCGCCCGCATGATAAAAAACGACCTCGCATACATCATGTTCAAACGAGGTCGGGCGGTTGGTTGGTCAGTCAGTCAGTCAGTCAGGAGACACACACACACACACACGCGCACACCTCTTCACGATTCCTCTGTCTGTCTGTCTGTCTTTTTGTCTGTCTATCTGGGCGTCTTTGCGTGTGTGTCTCTGGGTGCAGCGCTCAGGACTTTGCGTGATGCGGTGGGCAAGGGAGTGCGCGAGGCCGACGACGGAGAGGCGGCAGCAAAGCGGCCAAAAAAGTCCAAGAAGCCGAAGAAGGTCCCGAAGCCGAGCTTCGACGTGTGAAGGTCGTGGCTAGCGAAGTGGAGAGGGTGCGTCCATACCTGTGTGTGCGTGGGGCCGCATCTTATTGTTGATATGACGACATAGAGCAGGCAGGCCAACAGAATCGAACCATGAATAAGACACCCTCCTTGTTTGTTGACGGACTGACGGACAACATTTCACGAGCAAGGCGCACACAGGGTAGGCAACTAACTGCATGGCATGGATGAGTCCATCGTCCGTTAGTCAGAATCCCCCCAGGCTCCATGCATCAGGGTCGATAAGGCGGTACTCACACCCTTTTGACGTGCTCTTCGGCTGCAAACAACACGACCACACCTTCTTCTCTCTCCCCCCACCCTTCAAGACCATCACCCCACCCTCTCGCTCCCCCTCCCCCTCCCCCTCTCGCTCCCCCAGAGCACCATCCAGCATTGTCTCCGTGTCTGCCAGACCCCCGCCCGCAGCCGCCGGCTGCTGTTTCTTCTCGTCTCCGCTCGATGGGAGGCTTGTGTCCTGGTCGTGCAGCTGGTCCTGCTCATCGTTCATGAGGCTGTCAGTGTCGCTCTCTATCTCGTTGGCCCGGTTGGCCAGCCGGTCCTCCCTCTCCTTTGTGAGGGCTGGGGCGGGCTTGTAGCGGCCGGGGTGGAAGTATTCCTTGTACTTGCGGTAGGGGAGCGTCAGCGAGAGATTTGGCCTGTATACCCAGCAGACAGACAGACAGACAGAGAGAGAGAGACAGAGAGACAGAGAGAGAGACAGAGACAGAGAGACAGAGAGACAGAGAGACATTTTCAGACATCAGGAATTCCTTGTCGTGTGTGTGTGACGTGCCTGAATGTCTCAGCAGCCACGGGGAAGTATGTCTGCTGCCTCGCCTGGCACTCCAAGTCACGCATGATGCGGAACGCCTCAGCCTGGTACTTATTCTCCGAGTGGCCCGGCAGCTCCTTCTTTAGTTGCTCAATCAGTAGCTCCCTGGCCCCCCTCTGCGCCACCTTCCTCTCCCTCCCCTCGAACGTCATCGCCTCAGTCTTGCTAAAGGGCGTTATGTAGTCGCCCCTCAGGTATCGAGTCGGCGTGCCCCTGTGCTTCGCCACCTTGTCTTCGAACGCCGCCGTCCACTGCTTCCGCTCCCGCTGCTCAATAACGGTGCTGCCCTTCCATGTGTCCATGCCTTCCGCTTTCCTCTCAGGCCCATCCCACAGCTTGATGCCCTTGGGGAGCGGCATACGGTCGAGGCCTTCCTTTGCGGGGTTCTCTTTCAGCCGCGGCAGGACGTTGCGGGGCTCCCTTGTGTGCGTGCTCGGCTGCCATGGGGGCGGGTGGACCGCCAGACGGTCTCCTGCAATCGTCTTGAGCACTTCTTTCTTCTTGGTCAGCGCCGAAGCGGGCGTGTCAGACACGTGGAAGACCTTCTCCCCAAGCCGATAACTCAGCCGGTTGCTACAGAGAGCATCGCATCATGCCATTGGGAGGACGTTGAATGTAGGTCGCGAATGCGTGTGTGTGTGTGTGTGTGTGTGGATGGTTCTCACCTTCTGGCGCTGCCGATACGAAATTTCGACTTGAGAGGCGGACGTCTGGGGGGGTCCGGTGAGGGCGACGCCATTGCAAGCGGATTAAGGCCGTCAGCCAACACGCCAGAGGCTCCACGGCGGTGTCACTGGGTGAAAAGGGCCTGAAATTTGGGGGACCAACGGAAGGAAAAGCTCGCTATGCGCCTAGGGTGCTCCATGAAACCGCTGCTGCTGATTCAAGCTTGGCTTGACAGACCCCCGTTTTTCCGCTTCAGCCTCCATGCCGCCGCTGTTATGGAGCAACGATCCAGCTTCAGGGTACAGATCTGCTGCCAATCACCATCAGACCCACCTCAACAACCGGAACCATTACCATCCCGTCGTCAGCAGTATGCACAACGCTCTTTCAAGGCCAGCCTGCTCGCAGCCACGGTAGCCTCAGTGATTGCCCTGTGGCTGTCTGTCGTCCTCTTTGCATCACCCTGCGGATCAGTCCCGTCTGACAAGGTCATCCCGCGAGTGTCGAGGCACCGCAGGCGAGGCGCTTCTTTCCTCCCGCTGCCACAGATCGATGCCCACCCAAGGCGCCATACCCTCTCTGCACCGTCTGCCGCACCTGCTCCCGCTGCTGCTGCAGTGGCTCGTGTGCCGGTCATCGGCCCGAGGGTGGTGCTGCCGTCCCCGCCTTCTCATCGGCAGCCATCGGACAAGTGGAAGCATCAGCAGGATGGTGGTGGTGGTGGTGGTGGTGGTGATGCTCGTGAGGCAGTCGGCCGAGAGGGGAGCGAGCCTGCAGCGCGGTTTGTGAGGTCTGTGGTGGATCTGTGGGGGTCGGAGGGAGAGGCCGCGGCGCCGTTGGGTGTGACGGGTGTGTACAGCGAGGAGGACTTTGAACGAGTGTTGAGCATGTGTACGCCGACACGCTCTCCCGACGACCAGCCCCTGCAAGACGCCTGCGGTTTCTGGGAGTCGCTCGTCCGCGAGGGCCGGGCCGCGATAGCAAATGGTGATGATGTTTCTCCGGGCGCTGTGGTGTTTCTCTGCCAATGGTTCATTCACGGCAGCTATGTGGATAGTTCCTTCTTCTCTGAGGCCTTCCGCTACCTCATGGAGCGGCTCGCGATGCTCACCGACCGGCAGCTGAGCGCCCTCGCCTTCATCCTCGGCCGCACGTCGGGCCGCCTCGACACTGACATCCCTCTGCGCGCCCTCTCACTCGCCCTCCACCCCCGCATTCGCTTCCTCCCCACTGAGGCACTCGTCAGCTGCCTGTGGTGGCTCGCCAAGGCCCACTGCCGGGACACGGAGCTCTTCCGCTCGGCAGCCCAGTTGCTGGGCCGAGGTGTCCATCGGCTGTCACCGGGCGAGTTGGCGCGCCTGGCCTGGGTGTATGCTCCGGCCGCTGCGGGGGCGAGGGTGGGTGAGAGGGGGTGGATGGGCCTCCTGTTTCGGGCAATCCTCAAGAAGCTCCAGAGGCGGCAGCGGCAGATGGACAGCCGCGTGGCAGGCAGTCGCTCCTCACGCCAAGACGATGAGTCGGATGATGGGTTCTTCCGCCGTGACGAGCTCAAGATGATCGTGTGGGCGCTTCAGGAAGCATACAGCAATGGAGACCTGGAGCACACAGCCACGGCAGCAGCGGCCAGTGAGGGCGGGGGCGACGGGAAGGAGGAAGAGGCTGTGCGGCTGTTTCGAAAGCTCGACAGCCGCCTGAGGAGCGCCCTCCAGACGGAGCCCCTCATCGACGCACTCAACGGCGCCAAGCAGTGGCTGCAGCACACATCCAGCCATCTCGCCCCCTCCCTCGCCCCCCTGTTCACGGAGCCATCTCTCTCCAACGGCACTGACGGCGCTCATCATCACCACAAGCATCACGTCGACCATTATCGCGCCTTTCGAGCGGACCCGGATACCTCTCGAGCCACCGTGGAGAAGATCGTGGCTGCGGCAGAGGCACACACCAACAAGACCGGCGCGGTTAAGACCATGCGGGGCTTCGGCGACGCGCTGGTTGAGAACCTAATGCGTCACGCCCACGATAGCAACGGGCGGACGGTCGTCTCGGTGCTGACTCGCGCGGCGTCGCTCCCCAACACTCCCAACGTGCTGTCAGACGAGCGGCTCACTCAGCTGTTTGATGCCGTGGAGGGCCTTGTGCATCGGGAGGTGGCCCACCACACCGCAGCACAGGCGGCTGACGGCAACGGTGCAGCGACCCAGAGGGGGCGAAAGAAGCACACGGGAAGTCGGAAAAGAGGCAATCGATGGCTTCGTTTCCTCGCCTCGCATGGCGTCACCTGCCCACCTGGGCCGTCATGGTGCAGCAGAAGCAGAAGCAGCAAGAGAGCTGGTCGACCACCAGGCAATCCACACGCCAACACGGTTGCCGGTGCGCCATTGCAGCTGGGGTGCAACGAGCTCACCGCCATCGTTCACGCACTGGCCCGTTTCGGCACTCTCAACAAGCCGGGGGTGGCGCAGAGCCGTCTCGTCCAAGTCAGGGGCATCGGCAGGCAGCGCGTTATCGGCCTTCTGGAGATGGTGGCGTGGCTGCTGGTCGAGAGCGTCCCTTCCGTGTCTTTCGGTCCTTGGGAGGCGTGCATCAGCGCGTGGGCGTACGCCACACTGGGCGTGCCGCACGCGGCCCTCTTTGACGCCCTGATGGAGTATGCGCGCCACAACCTTCACCGATTTCAGCTGAAGGACCTGGCCGTGCTGGTGTGGGCCTGGGCCTGGGCGGACTGTGCGGAGCATGAGCTCATGGAGGCCATCGCCGCGAGGGTGGTGAGACTCCTGCGGCGACCTTCATCGGACTCGGTGGATGCTGATGCTGGAGGTGGCGGTGGCGGTGGCGGTGGGGGAGGGGGCGGTCCGTCATCGCAGCTGCCCAGCCTGTCGTCCCTCCCCCTGTCCATTCGGCTGCGGCTGCAGCGTGCAAATGTGCTGCCCTCGGTACCTCTGGAAGAGCTGAAGGAGCTGTCCCTTCCCTCAGACACCTCCAACACCTCCACCAACGGCACTGCTGCATCATCATCATCCCCTGGCCCATCTCGCCAATCCCACCATCGCCCGTCCCCCCTCGACCTATCGATGCTGGCCTGGGGTTTCGCCACATTGGTCAAGCAGGATTACTGGTCCGACTCGAAGCTCAAGAATGCCACCGTGGCTCTAATGGACGCCGTCAGCGCCGCTATGCAGACGGAGATCCGGGCGTGCATGCAGCAGCAGGCGAGAGGGAGAGGGAGCAGCTGCCGTCTAAAGGGCTCGCATCTGGCGATGCTGGCGATAGCTTGTGCCCGGTCGGGGTATGACGATCCCGCCCTGATGAGCCGCGTGGCTGAGCTGTCGATCCGGTGGCTGGACGAGGGGCGCTTCACGCCGCGGGAGGTGGCTAATCTGGCTTACTCGTATGGCAAACTCAGCCTCAAGTGCCGCCCGGTCGCTGAGGCGATTGGCAGGCGGGCCAAGAGACAGCTGAAAGAATTCTCATCTCAGGTCAGTCAGTGTGCCTGGGTGGGTGTGACAGAGGTGCGTGGGGCTTGCTCTCAGCTCATGTGCGTCTCTGTGTGTGTGTGTGTGTGTGTGTGTGTGTGGTCTGTTAACACATTAGGAGCTGAGCAACATGTTGTTCGGCATGGTCATATCCGAGACCTACGACGCCCAGCTCTTCCGCGACATCTACGCACAGGCGCAGAACGAGCTGCCCGATGCCATCAGCTGGCTGGCCCTCCTTCAGCTGTACCAAGTAAGTCAGCGGCGGACCGTCCAAACACCCACCCAATTTACGCTTCCACATACCCACGTGATGTCTGTGTGTTGTTCTGTTCCCATAGGCGTGGGTGGTTCTCTCGGCTGAGTGTCCGGATGCGGTGAGCGAGGTTGATGACGCCTTCCTGGCGCGGCTGCACGCGGCGTGGGACAGAGTCAAGAAGCGGCCCAAGGAGAGCAGCGAGCACCACCGGGCCATCAGCGCGTGCCTCATGACCCTCTCGGAGTTCCGGTGCTGCGTCAACCACGTCACCGAGGCAGAGCATGACATTGATATTGCGCTTCTTGACAGGTACTGGGCCGGCTGGCTGTCTGTCTGTCTGTTCATGTGTGTGGATGGATGGATGTGTGCAGGCGGCTGGCGGTGGAGGTGCACGGCCCGACCCATTTCGCCTGCAACACCAGGCGGCCCCTCGGACACACCCTTCTCAAGAACAAGATGCTCCAGCTGCAGGTGAGCCGATCGAATGAAATGAATTCAGTGAATGAGACACACACACACACACACCTCCCTCTCTCTGTGTGTGTGTTTCTGTATGGTTGGTTGTGTGCAGGGTTGGGGTGTGGTCCAGATTCCCTATTGGGAGTGGGAGCGCATCCCCCACTGGTCGACCATGGAGAAGAAGCGGTACCTTCAGCGCAAACTTGAGATCACCGCGCCGCTCAAGTACTCCAACAGGGACACCTCCTACTACAAGCCCTACATCCCACACGCACCTGCTGGGAAGCTGTCAAGGTTCGACTGACTGACCGATCGACGGGATGGGATGTGGGTGATTTTTCACGTGACGCCGTGGGTGTGCTGTGCGTATGTGAGCTGTTCCTGAGGGGAGAGGAGAGCAGGCCGGCCGGCCGGCCGATTCGTTGAGCGGGCGAGCGAGCGACTGTACACATGGTGTTCTGTACGTATGTGTGTAGATGAGAGAGACACAGAGGAGGGCAGGCAGACGGGCCAGACAGACAGGCTGCAGATGGCCAGGGTACTTAGATTTTTCGCCAGCACCAGACTTCGCCGCTCTGACCTGCATTTGACCGAGAGAGAAAGGGGAGCGAGAGAGTGGCTTGCCAATGAAGTGACACACGGACAGGAAGGGTGTGGTGTAAATGGGACACCTGCCTAAGTCGGGGCGGCAAGGCAATTTGTTCTTGAGGGGGATAGTGGATGGATGGATGGATAGATGGATGGAATGAGCAAAAGACACCCATTTAGTGCACACACAGCTGTGGTGTGGTGTAGTGGTGTGGTAGCGATGTTATTGACGGTGATGGTCGTGATGGTGTGTGTCTAATAGACATCGATGCACCCACACAGACAGACATGCAGGGAGACAATGATATGGAGAAAAAACAATGCACTGGTCGGTAAGGTAAGTGGCAGGTGGGGCGTCTTTTCGACTTCAACGTCACACACCCACACACCACACACGCCAGAAAGCCGAAAGAAAGCCACTTATTCGCCCCCACTGACTATCATCCATCCTTCGACTATGGCACATGTTGGTTGGCTGATTGGTTCGCTCACAAATAGCAGTACCCAATGCAATGCTCAAACACACACATATGCACACGTGGCTGCAGGACAGCCGGTACTAGCAAGGAGGGGGGCTGCTGGCCGCGCGCACACGTACGTGTGTGTGTGTGTGTGTGTGTGTGTCAATCTAATGTAGCAGCAGGTGTCGAAAAACGGTCAAACGAGTGGGCAAGGAGGGGAGGGCGGGGGAGCATCGCAGGGCAGCCAGCTCTGACAGCCGCCCTCCAAGCAACCTTGCCTCAATTGCCTCAATCAACACACAAAACACGAAAACATCACCGTGCACGTAGCTGGCCTGGCTCGTCCGTCGTTTTGGTTGACAAAACAACACAAGTCAAGCAGGTAGGTAGGCAGAAAGGCACACAACCACACGTACTATCCCATATCCCATCCCATCTCACCTACAAATACGATGCACACCCCACCCCACTCATCACCCCACCCCACCAAAGAAAGGACCATACGGAAAAATCATCCACTAGGTCCGATCCGATCACATGTATGGATCTCCTCCTCCTCCCTCCGTCTCTCCCTCCCAATATCTATCCAATGGCAAGCCGCACAGCCAAGCCACATATATCAGCCGGCGGCCCCTCCCGTGCCGGTGCTGCTGGCGTCCGCCGCGGCCGTGGCATCGTGTTCGGTGAGCGAGCCGTTCCGCTTCCTCCTGTACTGCATATACATGACGAACGAGAAGGCGATGGCGATGCCGACGAAGGCCACGCCCGCGACGCTGCCCGCCAGCACCCAGCGGATCCACGTGGGCTCCTCGTCCTCGGGGCTCTCCTTCTTGCCCTTCCCCTCGGCTGCACCGCATCGACAGACAGAGACGGAGACAGAGTCATACGCTACTTTGGACGTTTCCTGTGAGCGTGTGTGGGCGTGTTGCTGACCGAATTCGCTCTCCTCATCATCCAAGGGGGGGCTGGTGGTGCCGTTGAGCGGTCCCGCGTTCAAGCCAAGATCCAGCGGCGTATAAGGCAGCCCGCCAGCACCTCCCCCACCGGCACCAGGGGCGACCGTCGGCTCCCCTTCGCCCGAGCCTCTGATGTCGAAGTCAGACCCCTCTCCAAGCGACCCCTCCCCGCCCTCCTCCCTTCCACTAGGGATCACCAACCCATTCTCGCCGTTCACCACATCTCCTCGGCCATTCTCGCCACCCCCACCGCCCCCACCACCACTTGGCGGCCTTTGTGGCAGGGTCAAAGGGCGGCTGGGTGACGGGGGAGTCGGCACAGGCGGGAGGGTGGCGGGGCCTGCCTCAGGAGTGGGCTTGAGAAACCCGTTCTTCTCGTCTGTTTCTTGTGCCGGGGCGGTGGTGTCTTCTGTGGGAGGCTCGGTGGCCTCCTTGATTGCTTCTGCCGGCGCCTCGGTGAGGAGGTCAATGATCTCCTCGGGCGTCAGGGGCTCAGAGGCGTTGGCCTCTAAGTCCTCCTCGCCACCACCAATTTGTTCTCTGTCACCGGTCTCATTGGCCTCGATGACCTAAACCAACCCAACCACACACAATACGCAGGAAGAGAGCATTCATCGACGGCCGCGGCGGGCGGGCCCTTTGTCCTTTCCATTACCACTTCGGGAAGATCTGGCAAATCGCCCGGGAAAGCTGGGTCGAAGTCGGTGAGGCCGTCGCCTCCACCAGGGCCCAGCACATTGGGGTCAATCGGCGCCACGCCGCCATCCTCCCACCCAGGCGGATACGCCATGTCCCCCCTGTCCGTCTCTTCTCTGTCTGTCTCACGACCTGGCTCATACAGGTTCTCCTCAGGCACCTCCACCGCTTGTGACGGGTCGGCTGGTGCCTCGCAGACGAAGCATGAGAGGCGAGAGCCCGGCCCCCAGCAGGTTCTGGCGCCCCAGCCGTCGGGTCTGATGGTGGTGCATTTCTCCTGAGGTGGGAGGAGGCGCCAGATGCGCGAAAGCTCATCGCCCCAGTTGACGTAGTCATCCGTGTCCAAATTGGCCGTGCTGTCGATCCACCGCCTGCACATCGGTATGTAGCAAACACAGTGAGTGAGGTGAGGGTATGCATGATGTTAGTATGTTTGTCTGTGTGTGTGTGTGTGAATATGTTCGTGTGTGCACCGTACCATCCGGCCTTTCTGAGAGGCAGCCTGTATTTCCTGAGGCCGACCCAGCACTCCTGGTCCATCTGCTGCGCCAGGTCCAGCACAAGGGCGTTCTCAGAGGGGCTCCGCACCGATGCAAGGGCCGCTCCTGTGCCGCCCTCAGACATGCAGTGCTCATTCGCCTCTGTCCTGCAGACACACAGACAGACACACAAAAAGACAGACAGACAGACAGACAGACGTTCCACGCGTCCGTGTCACTCACATGCAGTGGAATGTTGGGTGACCGTGCGTACCATGATTTGCCCGACAAGAGACTGTCCGTAGCGAAGAAGTATGACTTGTAGCACGAGCCGCCTCTCTCCGTCCATGTGTCATCTGGACACGCCCACGCTGCACAAACAACACGCACAGAGAAAGAGAGGGGCCCATTTTCGCCAGTCGGTCGGCACACGCAGGTCTCACTCACCTGGCGATCCGCTCAACAAAACCACAAGCAGCACATTTGCCACGAGCTGGAGCACGTGTGGCCTCCCCCTGGCGCGGGAGGTCCCGTAGAGCCTCATCCCTCCACCTCCAGCCGTCCACACGATCAGACGAGCCCTGCTTGACCGACTTGAGACCTCTCACGTGGGGCAGTCCGTCAGGACCGACAGCAGTCGTCGCCACAAGAGGTCACGTCGGCCCACGATGGATGGAATCGGTGCTTTGTTGAGCCCGCGTTCCACGGCAGTTTCGCTTCGCAAACGGCTGTGTACGCTAAGCTCGCAACAAACCCTGCGAGCTTTTGTGTTTTGACGGTGTCTTCACGAGAAGGAGCCAAAGATCTGTCTATCCATCTCCACAAACCTCCTCCGAAGACGGTGATTGATCAGTGTGGTATGGTTCGCAAGAAAGGCTGGCTGGAAGGGTGGGCCGCGTGGACGAACTCGTTCTTCAGCCAGCTGTTCTTCAACATCGGATGGCAGATAGGCAAGCGGCCTCTCGCCTTCATGGTACATAAGTCAAACAGCTAGCTGGCCCAGTGAGTGAGGCGACAGCCGTGGTTGTGCTTGTGCTTGTGCTGATGGTTGTGTGTGTGTTGTGTGGTTGCAGGCGGTATCTATCGCGTGCGTGTTGCTGTGCTCCATCGGCTTCGTGTGCTGGAAAGAGGAGAACCCACCAGGTACGGAGCGGAGCAGTTTGTTTCGTGTTGTCTTGACGCGCACGTTGCTTGGGTGGGTGTGGTTGTGCAGACAAGCTGTGGGTGCCGCAGGACAACATATCCAACGAGCATCGGTACGCCACCTCACCCTGAGATATTAATTCATGTGTCTGCTCTTCTTTGATTGTGGCGTGTTTGCGTCACTGTCTGTGGGTCACTAGTGACTTTATCGCCGACAACTTCGGCGATGACAAACAGAGGCTGAACTATGTCATCATACGAGCGAAGGATGACAACGTCCTCTCTGTCCGGTCACTCACCGCCATCCAACAGGTGATTGGAAAATTCAGTAACAGCAGGCAGGCGGCACTGGTGGTTTGTGTCTCTTTCAGATGCACGCGAAGCTGCTATCGCTGCAAGCCCGCATGGACAAGAAGTATCGACGCGACTTTCCAAACATACCTGACCCTTTCACATTCAGGTGGCAACCACCATAACATTCCTTCCGCCGACGCCTCACTCTCTCTCTCTCTCTCTCTCTCTGCTGTTTCTGACCCACCCATCTATCCACCCACAGCGACGTGTGCGTGAGCCAGGGCACCAACAAGTGCCTGCTGCCGGGCCTGCCCGAGGTGTTTGACCTGGCCAGTCCGATTACCCTCACACAAGCCGACATCTTGAGCGCCGTCGATGCCAATGAAGAGGAAATCACGCCGTGGCTTGGGAAGATCCGCCGGGACGGTGCTGGCAAGATTGTGGGTGCGGAGGCCGTCATCATGACGTACTTCATCACCGCCGGCCCAGATTTTGAGATTCGCGAAGGAGTGAGTTCTTTCTGAGACACAGACCCGGGCAAGGGCAACTGATGGTATGCCATGAATGTGTGTCTTTGCTCGTGCAGGGTGACGACGTCCATCCTGCAGGTTTGGCGTGGGAGCAAGAGGCCCTCGACGAGGTCTTCTTCAAAGACAACGATGATCTCGACTTCGCGCCTCTGATGGACCGCACTCTCTCTGACACCTTCGGAGATGCCATCCAAGGAGGTACGCAGATTTCCACCACTTGGCCCTTCCCCTGTTCACCTCTTCTCCTCACGTGGTGCTAACCCAACAGATATCTCGGCACTCTTCGTTGGGTATCTGCTGCTGCTCGGCTACCTCTTCATTAACCTCGGAAAGCGAGATGTGGTGCACTCGAATCGTTCTGTCAGCTTGCATCGTCTCCCCTGCCCCACCCCTGTCCGTCTCTGAGCGTTTATGTCTCACTGATTCTGTGTCTCTCTCTTCACTGAGTGATTCATTATGGACGATACAAGATAGTGTCCATGTGTGCATGGCTGTTGCGTTCCTTGCCTGTCCGATCAGACCATGCCAATGGCACGTCCGTGCAGCGGGCCGTGCTGCATCACCGCTCTCATTGTCATCACAAGACGGGCGACGTTGTAGATCAGCGTGTGAGCATGTGGCGCATATAATAGTGGTAGCGGATGAGCTCACCGTGCATGCGATAAAGACTGACAAATACATCAAATTCAACGGGCTGATTGTGTCAGTGCCTCTTTCCCTCACTTACATCGTGCCGATCCGTGTGAGTATGTCCATTTTGGTGTGAATCATAAACACATCATCTCTCAGCCATCTGAACACCACCGCACGTGCCATTCATCTGACGCCAGTGTGCCTCTGATGTGTTCCGTACCTGCTCCACGTGTTGGTTCGGCCGTCCGTCGTGATTCCACTAACCAGCTCACGACTGACATCACACACATCAGGTCCGCACACACACCGCAGTGACACATGCCGCTGACTCACTCACTGTCTCTCACTCTCTCACTGTCTCTCACTCACTTGGTGTCCTCGCATGTCTTCAGGCGTTGGATGAGGACGCCAAGCCCAGAGATATGGTCGCTGAGCTCCCTCTGGTTCGGCGGTGCGGGACACGACTGTGGCGTCGGTGCAGGGGGAATGACCAGCCGCCCCACAGACAAGCCGACCGTGAACACAAGGACGAGCACCAGGGCGGCAACACACAGACGAACCATTTTGTCGGCACGGACGATTGTTTGACTGACCGAGTTAATCAAATTGAGTCAAGCAAATTGAGTCAATGTTACGTATACTTGCGTCCATATATCACATGTACATGTGTGTATGGCTGAAATCAAGTATGTACACAAGTCGGCCGTCAATGAAAGAGAGGCGTAGATGTGGGAGCAGAAGCGATTTTCCCGCCACATCACAAAGAGAGCTGCAGTCGGCCGTCAATGAAAGAGAGGCGTAGATGTGGGAGCAGAAGCGATTTTCCCGCCACATCACAAAGCGCATTTCGCCTTCTTCTTCTCCTCCATCATCTTTTGAAACTTCTGAATGCTAAAAAAGCCCTTCTCTTCGAGCTCTTTTCTCTTGTTCGCCGCCTTCTTCTCCTTCTTCTTCTCGTCCGCCGCCTTCAGCTTCTCCTTCAGCGCATCCACCTCCGCCGAATCGATGTCTTGGGCATCGTAAAGAGCTTCGAGTGTGCTGGGCGTGTATCTGTCGTCGAGATCACATCGGTCGTCGGCTTCCTGCTCGGCGTATGTCCAGTCGCCATCGGTGATGTATTTCTGCACCGCCGTGTGCAGGAAGGGCACCGTAGCCTCCGGGTATGACAGCCCACGTCCTCTGCCGCCATACCAGGGGCCCGGTTTGACGTCAACGCTCTTCTTGCACGCGACCTGAAGACAGACATCGAATCTGCTGGTGTGTGTGTGTGCGGGTGGCGTGTGTGTGTGTGTGTGTGGGTGGGTGGCGTGTGTGTGTGTGTGTGGGTGGGTGGCGTGTGTGTGTGTGTGTGTGTGCGGGTGGGGTGTGTGTGTGTGTGTGTGTGCACGCCTTCCCCCCTCCCTTGCCTGCCACTCGGGATGCGATCTGTTACACTTGGCGCACATAATCCACAATTGAGTCGTCAAGATCGCCAGGCTTGTCCGCATGAGCATCAGGGGAACAGCGACATTCGTACACACCTGCGGCTTGTTCGTGCTGCACTTGCGTGCATAGGACTTACACCACCAGTGCACGCGCCCCTCGTATATCTTCAGCTCGGGCTCGTCTTCGCATCCCACCTCCCTCGCACATCCACTGAAAGAAGACACACACCAGCCATGTACTGCGGTATGTGTTAGCGGCTTGTAAGACACACTCTGTCGGCCCCAAGTGGTCTCGGATGCGCTTCGTGAATGAGTCAAGGTTGTTGACAAGATCGTTGTAGTGGATCATGTCCCCCGTCACTGGTCGCGCATACAGCGCATCCCTGAACACACTCACAGACATGACCGACGAACGCACTCAACAAAGGTTGTGGCGATTACTGCCACTCACCAAGACGGCTTCCCGAGCATCGACAGACCCGCCATGTACTTGACCTTTGCACTCGCAGGTTCGACGTATGAGTACATCACCGCCACGGGAACGGCTTTCGAGAAGTGGTGTCCACCTTCGCGTCCACCGAAAGGAGCCAACGCGATTATCATGTTAGCTCGGTGTTGTGATGGAAGTGATGGCGATCAGCATACTGGGGGGCGTTGTCGGCGTGGCGAACAACGACGACGGCTGCACAACACACATGGGCAGCCGGCATTCTCATGGGATCTGTCCTTCTTTGTGTGTCACTTGTCGCCCACTCATCACATGAAGCGGCGCTGTGACGAGCCAGGAGGCGTCAGCTGAACCACTGGGATGGGCCAGGCCAATCATGTTCGCCTCGCCCACATTCTCACAACGGTTGTAGTCGCGGTAGCGCCTGCACTTCTTCTCCTTTGATGTGAGAGCGCGGCCGGAGTACTCTCCGTCAGCGATGGTACAGAAGGGCAGGACGTCCTTCGTATGGACCAGGCGCTGATAATTATGGTTGCCCCGACGACTCATGGTCCGCATATACGCCTGCTTGTCGCCCATACCGTGTGCCGCCAGCTGCTTTGCGGCCCTGACGCGAGTGCACACGAAACGCTGGTAGCAGTCTTCTTTGGCCGTCACCACCTTGCCACCAATCTTGAAGCTCATCCAGCCGCGATTCTTACAGCGGCGGGGCAGGTGCCAAACCTCTCGACATATGTTCTTGGCCATATGAGCGAGAGCCCCACAAGAGGTCGCGACTGCATCGTTGGCCCTTGCTTGATCTAAGTCCGTCTCCTTCTTCCAGCCCCGGTTGTGCCACTCGACCGTGCAGTCGTCAGCCACCGTGATGATGTCGCATCCACCAGAGGCATCGAACTGCTGGCGAAGCACCGTGTGTCTCGCCTTGCACTCTCGTTCAGTGCCGTCGAAGCCCTTCAGCGTCCAGTCGTCCAATATCACATCACCGGCCTGCTTGTAAGAGAAGCCCGGCTGATGGAGCGCTCCCCATGGCAGCGGGGTGGACTGGGCCGCGAAGAGCTGATGTGCGGTGGATGTAGAGGCGCCCGCGCTGGCACTGGCACTGTGTGGGTGTGAGGGGTCATCGATGTCCATGGGATCATCATCATCGTCCTCGCCGGTCAGATCTTCCACGTCGGCGTCAGAAGCGTGGTAATCTTGATAATCGTCGTGAACAGAGTCATCCGCCGGAAAGGCGCAGCAGCCGGTGCTCATACAAAGCAAGTATGGGAGCAGGAGTGACCATGTGGATGCCTTCATCGCTGCCTAACAGGAGTGTCCTCGCCGAGACTGGGGGCAGAGGCTGGGGGCGTGGGGTCAGAGCACGAAGCTAGGCCTGAGCATTGCCGTCGTTTTCACCATTGGCCTCTCTATCGCCGCATCCTATGGGTGAGACCGAGAGAGACACTGCTGCACATAAAAGAATTAATAGACAGATCCACAAGTAAGTCGTGTTCTGGGTGCGCAGCGTATCAGCGGGTTTCGGCTTCAAGTTCGGGCCTCTGCACTCGACTCTCCCCTTCCTGCTGCTGGGCATCGGTGTGGATGACGCCTTTATCATCACATCGGCATTCCACCATACGTATGACGCCGACGCATACCCCATGGAGTCCTCCATCCCGCTGCACGAGAGAGTCGCCCTCGCCATGAGCCATGCCGGCATGAGCATCACGCTGACGTCGATCACGGACGCACTGGCATTTGGGATTGGCGCATCCACCACTGTACGCGAATGAAGAGAGGAGAGAAGGCCTTTGGGTGGCTTGTCGCACTCTGTCTGTGTTGTTGGCTGCAGATTCCCGCTCTTTCATCCTTCTGCGCCTATGCGTCGTTCGGCATCCTGTGGTGCTACCTGCTGCAAGTGTTCTTCTTCACTGCCTGCCTGGTGGTGGACCAGTGGCGTGCTCAGCGACAAATATACGACTTCCTGGTGAGCTGAGCCACACCCGGTGACGCATTGGGGGTGACTGGCAACGCGCTTTGCCTTGGTACTCTCTTCATGTCAGTGCTGCATCAAGGCGTCCAAACCGCATCTGCTGGGCGACATCCAGGATGGCCAAGTGGTCGACAGGTAAGGAACAGACAAGGGGTACCCACAGTGACGGTGCCGACCGCTCTGGCGTGTGGCTTGTTTGCAGGTACTGTTACTTCTGCACGTGCAAGCCTGACCTTTTGGCGAGATTCCTGGGGGGCCCATATGCCAATATTCTGACCAAGACACCCGTCAAGGTGCCCAGCAAGACACAGCGCAACTCAGGTGTGCAATCATGTGACGCATCATTCGCTGCAGGTGGGCGTGCTGGCGGTTGCGGCGGCCCTGCTGGGCGCTTCCATCTATGGGGCGACGAATCTCGAGGAACGCTTCGATTTAGCGTTCTTTGTTCCAGACGATTCGTACGGCAGTAAATACTTCGACTACCTCGATGACTACTACAGCGGCGCACGTACGCTATCGCCAAACGGACAAAGACATTCATGCATCCGGTACACCTTCCCATGGCCTTGTGCGTGTGTGTGTGTGTGTGTGTGTGCAGCTGTCCCCATGACGGTGGTGGTCAAAGACTTCGATTACTACGCTAACCGAGACACCACCCTACCGGTAAACGCACGCACACAACCACTCACAGGAGGGCGTCCATTACCCAGTGACTCACACACGGCTGAATTGCATTGTGTGCAGGATGTGTCATCAATTCTGCGTACGTCCAAGTACGTCGAGGCATCGACCGTCGAGAGCATCTTCGAAGAATACGCGAGATCGCCCCTTTATGACACGGTGATCACGCATGCGATGCGACAAAGCTGGGACACACTTACCGACGCGCTTATGACATGCATTTTACGTGTGCTGTAGAGCACGCCAGCCGCTTGGTACACGGGCCTCTCCACCTTCATCACTCAAGACGGACCCGGCAAAAGGTACATCACAACACCATTCCGTCCTGTCACTCACACACACGTCCACACACTGCGTTTCACTGCTGCAGGTTTGAGCAGGACATCGTATGGCGGGACCCCCTGGACGTCACGCAAGGCATCCGCGCGTCGCGCCTGCGGGCCGGCTACCGAGGCAGCGCCATCCCTGACTCGCCCAGCCAAGTGGATGCGATGCTGACCCTGAGGAAGGAGCTGGCTGACGTCGATGGTGTGGATGTCTTTCACTACTCCTTTGAGCACCTGACGTGGGAGGCCAGCGCCGTCATTGTGTATGAGCTGATCCTGAACCTGTCGCTGGCATTTACAGCGGTCTTCCTCGTGACACTGGTCGGCACGGGCAGGGCAGGCAGAAACACACAATGGTTGAGAAGCCGAATGTTCGTATGGTTCTTCTGTCTATCTTCACGTGTGTGCAGTTTTTGATTGGTCATCCACTGACGAGCATAAGGACCTTGTCTTCGTGTGTGTCCTCTACTGTGTTGTCGTCTCTCTCGGTGAGTCTCCACACTCACACACACTCACACACACACACAGAGGAGCGACTGCGCTGTGCCTCCATGCGCTCGTCCTCCGTCTGCATGTAGGTTTTATGTATTACTGGGGAGTTCCGATCAACACCGTCTCTGTCATCTACATAGTGCTCGGCCTGGGCCTCTCCGTCGACTACTCGGCTCACATCGGCTACTCATTCATGCTGCAACAGGCCGCCACCAGGGACGAGCGTGTCGTCAAGGCTCTGGGGGAGATCGGCGCATCGGTGCTCAACGGCGCCTTCTCCACCTTCCTGGCCATCCTGGTGCTGGCCTTCTCCAAGTCATACGTCTTCCGGGTGTTCTTCATCCAATTCTTCGACATTGCCGTGTTCGGGGTGGCTGCGGGCATCTGCATCCTTCCTGTGCTGCTCTCCTGGCTGGGCTCGGCGCCATACACCATCCCACAAGACGCCCCGGTGAAGGACGGCAAGGTTGTGGAGACGCTCGAGGACACTCATGAGCCGTCGGCCGTGACGGTGCCGACGATACGCCAGAAGAGTGCCGAGGAAAACCACGAGAGGGAGGGTGAGGAATCCACGCCCCCGGGGAGCGTGTAGTGGGGTGGGGTAGGGTGTGTTGGGGTGGGTTATTTGCTGGTCTGAATATGAGATGCGACTGCGCATTGCTTGTTTGTAAGTACTGTACGTGGGGAGTGTGTTGGCTCACTCGCGGCCCTTCCAAAGGAAGGCTGATGCGAAGGATTGTTGAATGGTCTGCTCTTTGTGTGTCAATTTGGTGATGCAGGGCTAGTGCTCGTGTAGCGTAGAGTGATTTTTGTCCAACTGCACTTGTACTGCTCGTGTGTGCGCGTGTGGTGTCTCATCTCGTCTTCTCCAACTTCTCGCCTATTGTCTTCCACAGTCAGTAATAGACTGTGCATGTGTGTATGTGTGCCTGTCGATTGTTCATTGTGCAAAGCGACGTCCCGTCACTTGATGGTGGGTGTGGTGCATTTTGTTTTGTGGGGCCTTTTCTTGTAGTGTTCCGATGGATGACTGAATAATGAGAGACGAGTGATGTGGATGAGTTTCACTCGTGTGGTGCGACACTGGCTAGTCAACACATCAACAGTCTTCGCAGATGGATCGAAGAACATCCATCCACCCACCGACTGCACCACGTATCCATCTCAACAGCAGCGTCAAAACACGTAGCTGGGCAAGCCGCGCTAGCCGGCACATAACTACAAAACAAAAACGTACAGCCAGCGCCTCACAGGTGTACACATGTATACGTATACGATACAAATATCAATACAGATAGGGATAATACAGATACAAGGACAGATAACCTACTCACACTTCGACTTCCATCAGTTTTGGCAATCGATGTAAGCGAAGCAGCTACAGCCGCGAATGAGAGGGATCGCCGTGCAGATGCTCAAGTCGATGATGCGGATCGTCCGTTGACAGTCCGGGAGCCGGGCAAACGAGCCAGGCACCGCCTCATTGAACCCCGTCCAATATCGGCAAAATGCCTGTCAACAATCGAGAAAAAAGCAAACATGCTCGCCTCGGCTTCTCCCCGTCTCACATCTGCAGCGTCTTGGCCGCAATCGAATCCAATGTCAAGCAGTGCCTGCCCGCACCAATCCACAGGAATGTTGGCCACTTTTGGGGTCGGATAGCGCTCTGCATGCAGCATTGCCGAGGGAGAGAATCGATCAAGGACCACAACAGGTGAGCACAGACAGAATCAGTGGCGTACGCGCGGCCGCTGCGGTGCACTCCGCGTCTTCATCGCAATTCCAAATCACACGCTCAGCAGCACCACCTGTGGTGGTGCATGTAGCCCAACACACACGAGCAGAAAATCGATCAGCCAAATGGCGTCACCCCGTCTGCACGTACTGTGCGCTTCTTTGCCCACTGTAGTAGATTCCGGTCGTCTGCGCCATCGTGGGAAAAACGTAACGGGCAGCTGCACTCACGCGCGCACACACACCCACGAAAAAGAGAAAGAGAGAGAGACTCTTTGTGGAAGTGTAGCCTCACGCAGAGACAATCCGCCTCACCTCCCGCCTCCAGCGGCTGACAGTCCGGGTCTGTTTCGGCACAATCGCCGCGTTCTTCAGGCCGCTGGCAGTGAGCGACACCGGCGAGAGTCACGAGCACAAGCAGCCCAAAGATCCACACCATTGGTCACGGGATGGGGAGTGCGTACGCTGATCGCATCATGTAAACTTCGCCGTGGGGGCTCTTCAGTCTCAGCCCCCACTAGTCTCAGCCCCCACTGGGAGAAACCGCGAATCCGCTCCGAGTCCCGCCACGAGCCTCTGGAGTCCCGCGCGATGGATTCTCGTAGAACATCCACGTTCAGCACCGTCCTGATCCTCCTCCAGCTGTGTCAGCAGGTCTCATCGTCGCGTGTCCTAGCGCGTGTTACGGATGACGTAACCTGTTTCCAGCGGCCCCATGATCTCCCTGAGAAGCCAATCGACATCAGGTGAGTGGAAAGGGTAAGGGCAGCTAGGAGAGCTCTTGGCCGCTGCAATGGGTGGCTGGATGGGATGCATGCAGCTGCTCCGTGAAGGTCGCCGACGATTTCCGCCATCGGCTGCAGCCAAACCTCAAGGACAAACACATGCTGGATGTAGTCCTGCGGCTGCGAAAAAAAGGAAGAGGTGTTGGCGGCAAGGCTGAGCTTCAAATCTCACTGCAGAATGTCGGCGGAATCGACGTCACAAACGGTGGTTGCGTCTTGCAGTTGAAGGGCGACGGCGACTGTTCCTTGGAGAGGTACGTGCATTTGGGGGCACATAGGATGCCAACTTCAATGTGTGTCTCTGTTGACGCAGTCTGGACAAAGCCGACAAATTGAATGGCAATTCCCTGATGGTCGCGATGCTGTCATGGGTCGATACCTACGGAGAGGGCTGGGGCTGCACCAAGGGACTGAGCCTCGTCGACATCAGCAGCATCAAGGAGAGCTACATGCTTACACACGCAAGTACGTGTCTGGAGATAGACATATGTGACACATTTCATGGCTCGATGTATGTCAGGTTTCTACTACCAGTCGTTCGGCTTCAAGTTTGGGCCCAAGGCAAACAAAAAGGCGGTCGACAGCTGCAGGGACATGCTGAGCTTCCTTCGTGACGAGGCGGATGTCTTGTCAACTGTGAAGAGTAATGCCGTCATGGTGCTGCACCAAGCGCTCAGCGCATCAGGCAAGATTGGCCGCGATATCGTCAAGAAGGTTGACAAGGAGGTCCGCGATACCAACATCGACGATCCAGAGGCCAGACTTGAGGAGATGCGTCGCAAAACGATCGACGTCGTCGAGGAGCAACCCGCACTAAAACAGTCTGTGTCGACTTCTCCGCTGACCCCGTTCCGCCAGACTCGAGATACGGTTGGATCAAAAAAGGCGATGATCGGCGAGAAACGCTTGTTCTTCGACCTCCTTCTTGCCTGGCCCGAGCTGGAGGAGATGACTCAGGAGTGCGTGTCCAGGGGAGAGAGAATCCGCGATGGCCCGATCAACCCCCAAGCCAGTCAGCTGCCCCATCTGCGCCCCAAAGCCACCATTGACCCCACCTTCCCGCCAGGCAGCAACGCCCACGAGCTTATGTGTCTGATCCAGTCGGCCGGGCTTGTGCTCATGAAGCATGCAGACAAGAAGCGATTGGAGAGAATCATGGATGACTTCCCATCAATGCTACTGGCCCAGAGCCTGCCTGCCGGTGCTCGGAAATGCCTCAACGTGTCCACAGGAGTGCGGCAGCTCGGAGACACGCATCGCTACACACTCGTGGAGGAGTTCGCCACACCTTCCAATTAAAAAGAAACGAGAGAAAACTGCATGAGTGAAGCGACAAAAACAAAAACAGACAGGTCGATGGACGCATACATGCATCATCGAGACACATCCTTGCAACAGCGCGGGAGAGACACGACGCACATGTTGCGGAACGAGATGGCCACATGAGTGTTTCCTGCCTTAACGAGATTATCAGGCAGGAAACACAGTGATAATCGACGGATCGGTCATGCGGTCCAATAATCCATGAATACACCGATCCATGAATACACATCTATCGAATATCTGGAGCGCTGTCCTTCATGTGTCAGCTCCGCTGTGTCTCCGGGCGATGTGGCCCCGCACCCACGCCTGAATCCTACACACACACACACACACACACAGAACCGCATACACACACAGAAACGCATACATCAAACGTGCAGATCTAGCGTGTCAGTGCATTTGTTCACCTGGTGCTGGCAACTTCCCTTCTTAGCTCCTTGTCCCAACGGAGATTGTAATAATTTGCTGTAGCGAGGAAGACCAGGAAAGGGATGCTCTGGTCCTGCTCTTCGCCATTGCCCTGACACACATACACACAAGGCTCACAAGAGTGAGTCAGTGATTCAACCGGTTCTTGTTTGCCGTGTGTGTACCACTGGCTCGAGATATCTGAGGCTGTAGCGCAGGCCCGCCCCCAGCTGCGCCACTCGCGACCGATACGGAACCACATATCCATTCTTGCGACGACGCAGCAGTCCCCTATATGAGACACCAGCCACAAGGAGGCACATGCACACAATCCCTGGCAACACACGTCGCCCACCTTGAGAAGTGGCTGGTGAGATCGAAGGCATCTTCAGCCTTGACTATGCCCTGATCCATCGGTCACACGAGACAAGAGACAAGAAGACAAAGTCCAGAAGATGCGCACAGGCGCCCCTGGCTATCGATGGTCTCTGCCGATCAGTGTCTCACGGCCAGAAGAGACCAGTCCTCCGAGGCCTCGTCGGCATCATCTTCGGCGACGTCCGACACTCCAAACTGGTAGCTGATGACGCTGCATCGCTCCAGCAGCTCGTCCCGGAACTTTAGCGCCCACCGCCACATGTCGAACAAACGCACTTCCGACTCATTGGTGGCCACAAAGAGACGGGAAAGACGGCAACCCTGCAGACACATCCAGGTGCGTTGTGCATCGAACGAGCGTGTGCTGGCGGAGTGACTGGCTCACACTGTAGAATGGTGTTCGCTTGATGGATGGCAGGTCCTCTGTCGAACACACCACGGACCGCAACACACCTGCCACACACATCACACCATAAGGCGGCGTAATGTATGTATGTATCAGTCTACCGTGCTCACTCAGTCTGAATTGAGGCCGTGTCATGTGAAAGTTGAGAATCTCCCGCAGGGAGCAGTCAACACGAGTGCAAAACTCCTGATCAACACACAGCAGGTCTCTCTGCACTTTCCCCCCATCACACGCTCACCACTGCACTTTGCACTTCTCTCAAGGCGTCGCACTCGACGGACTTCCACACCAGTCTTTCAAGGAACAGATCCACGTCTAGCAGCACCTTGTCGCTCTCCCACGACGGCCGCCCACCTCCCGACCTCCCTCGCTTGGAGTAGCCGATGAGTGAGTGCTCCACCCGCTGCAGCCGGGACTGTGGCAGATCGGTGAAAAGACGACGCACAACACCACTGGCGTCGTCATAGCTGCATGCATGACACAAAGTGAGAGCAGTGATTGATAGAGGTGTCATCTCTGGGTGTTCGTGGTGCGAGTGACTAACGTGATGGCGGTGCGTTCGAGTGCGCTCCGTCCCTTGCGGCTTCGCAGCAGCCGGGCGTCGCTCAGCTCAACAGCTGGAGAGAGACCCCCCTCGATTAAGTCTGTTTTTTCCGTTCGCTTGGTCTCTGGTCCGACCTTTTTCGAAGAGACGGACAGATGAGAGATACATCGGCGTCTGGAGGAAGAGGTACATCATTCCATCACCCGCCCGACCATCCCCACAAAATGTCTCCATGACTTGCCTGTCCCCTTGCGAATACGCCCAGAAACTGGGCGACAAGACGAACAGTCCCCGAAGAGTGCCTGAACACGCACGCACACAATGGGCACATGCACATCCCTTCACGTGTGTGCGCAAGACCGACCAGTGCTCCCGAAAAGCGCCAACCAGATCAAGCAGCTGACGATAAGTGACATGCGAGCACACGCAATAAGCTCATTGACTCGTGATGGGTGAGACTTACCAAATAGAGACGCTGTGCGCCTTGTGGTGCCTCTCTCTCAATGAACCTGCGTTCATGTCAGAGCAGAAGACACACCAGGACGGTGCTCATGGACACAAGAGCCTGCCACATGCCTGCCTACTTTTGCAGTGAGGTGGTGAATGGAACAGGATTGTACTCAGCGTCAAGTCTGCAGCAGAACAACAACCAGCAGCAATGCCAGGTTCGTGCTTTTCATCGCTATGCACTCGTCGCTTACTCTGCGTGGAAGTCGACGAGCGCCCGGAGTATCTCCAGAAATTTCATCTTGGACAGCACCTTCCCCGACGCAAGGCCAAGCATCGCTTGCGGCCGGTATCCTGTTCATTCAGACACATGGCGATACATTGGGCGCTCCATCCGTGCACACAGTGACTGACAGACGATGGCTGGCTTTACCCAGCTTCGCCGCCTGTAAACACCGCATCGCAGCTAGGCTGTGCCTCAAAGTGTACTTATTTGCAAACACGGAGCTCCGCGCTCACCACGAGGGTCGGTGCCCGGATGGCTAGCTTGAGATTCTGTTGGACACGATCCACACTGCCTGAGACACACACAAGACCGGGCGCATTGTTTCTGCGTCAGGATGGACTAAAGCAAGTGACCAGCACGGTGCGCGTACGTCCTCTTTCGTCCTCTTCGCTGACGTCTGACCAGTCTTTAGTCAAATCGTTCACCACTGTAGCACACACACAAAGAAGAGACTGAGGATTATCGCGGCATTCAATTCACTCCAACGGACGTACCAGGCATGGCCTCGGCTTCTTGCTCCCCGCCGACGAAGAAAAGCTGCTTGTCCATCTCACCGAGGAGACTCTCAACGTGAGCGTCAAAGGTGCAGTCCGTCTGCACCTCCTGAACACAACAGGGAGGGGGGAAGGAGAAAGCAGGGTCTCACCATCGTGGATACCTACTTGTGAGACCATGATCCGCTCCGCGGCTTTGGCTTCGAAGTGTCTGAAAGTCGCCAGAAATCCCTTGAGGCCCTCAAACGTCGCCGCTGACTGCACCGAAAGAGACATCTCTTCTCACACGTGACCGCGAATGGTCAGACGGATGTGCACTTGTTCGAGAAGGCGCGCGTGTTTGCCCTCCTCGGCGTCTAGTTTCGTCACTGAAGGAGAACAGCCGCATAGACCTTGCTGCTTTTCTGTGCGTTTGCAGCGTACGTGTGCGCTCTATCTCGTGGACCGTGTTGATGTAGAAATCGTCCTGGGGCTTCTCTGTCTCGCCATCTGATCAAGAGAAACCCTGCAAATGTCACAAAAGGGCTCTTTTTGTTTTCAGTCTACCTTTCGGCTGGTTGATTGCGTTCATGGCTATCCTGTGGGCGGCGTCCTCCACAGCCAACATCCTGCAGACATTCATCCACGCATTGGCACGTACACGGCAGCACCGTGCCAGCAGTGTCCCTCACCCTACCTCTGGTTGATGGATCGGTTCTCATTCTTGATGTTTTCGAGCACCCGCAGTGCCAGGTTGTGGTCCACTTTGAGCTGCATGTGATCGAAGTAATCCTGGTTGTGCTCCTGAGGACCGGCAAGGGCATCACATCAGTGTCTCATGGTCGTCTGACCGTGCACGCGCCATTCTCACCGCTTCCTTCTTCTGTGTCTCAGCACGGAACTTTCCACACAAGTCGCGCAGCATATCTACAAAAACACCGGACACCATGGCTGCCCGTCAAGCAGACGATCGCCTTTCAGTACCAGCTTCGTTCTCCTTCTTATTGATGGTGCGATCATAAGAATTGAGATTCCTTCTCAGTGCTCCAAACGTTCGATTGAGATACTCCACCACAGCGCACCACAGGCGACTCACTACCTGGGCCAAAAGTGCGCAGTGGAAAGTGCACTGATGGCTCAGCTCCTCAAACTGACCCATTCACCAATCCACACATATACACACACGTGGCGGACACACACGGAGACTGAGACAAGACATGTCTTGCGTTGCTCACACCGCTGCTGAGTAAATGGCCATGTCTCGTGTGAAGTTCTCCTGCAGCGTCTTGGCGACGTCTTGCGGGGAAGCGGACGGGGCATGCTCGAATGGAACGAACGTCGACTCGCCCAGCATCAGCCTGTCACTTATCCACTCATTCAGGCTCTCCAACTCGTGATGGTGCGCTGCACACGCCACCGCAGACACAGACCATCTTCAACACTTTACCGGGAACTCCGCCTGTCTGTCTGTCTGTCTGTCTCTGTCCGCCTATCTAACCGTGGTTGAGGTGGCATGGGGGATAGGCTGTGGAGATGGGCCGCCCCTTTAGAAGAGCGATCAAGTGGTCGGTTATGCCCCGCGTATGGCTCATCTCTATGTGCTCCTGGCGACCACATCTGCACAGGGGGTGACCATCCGGATCCATGCATCATCCCGGCCGTGTACGTGTGTGTGTGTGTGTGTGTGGAACTGCCTTGCCTTGGCACACAGCTCCCTTTCAGCTGGGACGTAGCCTGCGACGACTGCTGACTCTCAAGGGAGGAAAAGTGGTCTGTACATATCGATCGCCATGAGGCGAATATCGCATATAAGTCAGTTAACAGCTTTGCTCTCATTTACTTGGCAAGTGTGAGGACACGTCGAGCCGGCGTGCTCTCTGCGATTGGGGCCTGGCGCGGTGTGGTGACAGAAGAGGGGAGGAGTCCACCACATCCTCGCCCAGCACCTGCACTGACAGCTGACAGAGGGATGGGTGCAGGGACGTGGCATGGCTGTGCGGCGGTTTGGCTTTGCTTCTGGATGCTTGCAGGCTCCGCCCTGTCAAGGGAGCCGGGCAACTCATGATTTGGGACGTGCGTTGAGCTCAAACGCTTTTATGGACACCCTCGGAGGCCGGGACCGGTGAAGGGGAAGGGAGGGAAGGGAGGGGGCTCGGCGAGCTTAGCACGCACCCACACCGACTTCGCCTCTCCCCCTCTTCCCCCTCTTTGCACGCGCTGCACAGCTTCCCTCGTCCCATCAGCAACTGCCCATTAATCAATCGCATCAGCCAGCCATGCCGCTGCGTTTCGACAACCAGGTTGCAGTCATCACGGGTGCGGGTGGCGGCCTTGGCCGTGCCTATGCCCTCCTGTTCGCCTCCCGAGGCGCCAAGGTGGTGGTCAACGACCTGGGGGTCACCACACACGGCGAGGCGGGCGGCAAGGGGGGCGTCAGGGCAGCCGACAAGGTAGGTACTACGGCGGATGGCATGCGATGCATGCCATTGGATGGCCAGATGCCATGTCAGGTGGACGGGTGGCGGCAATGCGGTCACGGCCATGTGTGTGTTGTTGGTGTTGAGTGTGTGTCAGGTTGTGGCGGAGATCAGGCGTGCAGGTGGTGAGGCGGTCGCCAACTATGACAGCGTGGAGTTCGGCGAGAAGATCATCCAGACCGCCATCGACGCATACGGACGGGTAAGTGGGTGCATGACCATGATATGATGGACACACTCACCCATCCACTCACTCATTCGCTCATACGGACGGATGCACACGTGTGTGTCGTGTGTATTGTGTGTGCAGGTGGATATTCTGGTCAACAATGCGGGTATACTGCGCGACGTGTCGTTTGCCAAGATGACTGCCAAGGATTGGGACCTCATCATGCTCGTACACCTCAAGGGCGCATACAGGTCAGCCAGCTGGGCACTTACTTCCCCGCACCTCTCTCTCGACATACGACATTGATTCGGTTTGCGTGTGATGCATCGATGGGATGGGATGGATGTGTCATCCAGCTGCACCAAGGCAGCGTGGCCGTACATGCAGAAGCAGAAGTACGGCCGCATCGTCAACGCTGCCTCGGGCGCCGGGCTGTACGGCAACTTCGGACAGGTAGGTAGACAAACATGAGATAGATGAGTGGGTGGCAGATACCTTTGTGTGTGCGTGTGTGTGTGTGTGTATCAGGCCAACTACTCTGCTGCCAAGCTGGGCCTCGTCGGCTTCAGCAAGACACTCGCACGTCAGATGCGATGCATGACACTGACTGCACCAGAAAGACAGACTGACAAGGCAGCACCCATCCACTGGCTGCGTGTGTGCAGGTGAGGGTGAGCGCCGCAATATTAACGCCAACGCCATCGCCCCCCTGGCGGGCACACGGATGACTGAGACCGTCATGCCACAGGTGGGCAAGAGCACACACACACGATTCCACACCACATAGTGAGTAGGGTGTGCACGTGTGTTGCAATGCAGGAGGTGGTTGACGCGTTGAAGCCCGAGTACGTGGCCCCGCTGGTCGCATACCTCTGCCACGAGTCGTGCAGGGAATCTGGAGAGGTAGGTACCGTACCCCTGCGGGATTGGATTGCCATCGTCGTATGTGTGGGCTGCATTGCACTTATCGACCCCTATGTGGACGTCTGTCTGTGTGTCTGTGTGTCAGGTGTTTGAGGTGGGTGCAGGGTGGATCTCCAAGCTGCGATGGCAGCGCACACAGGTGGGGGAGGGGATGCATGGGTAGGTGTAGGTGTGGGTGCGTGTGCTGGTCCGTGTTCATTATCCATCCATCCACCCGTCCCGTCCGTGGATGTGCGTCCGTCCGGCAGGGTCACATGTTTTCTTCCCCGACCTTCACCGCTGACGACGTCGCTGCCAACTGGGCAAAGGTACACACAAACACAAACACACACACGCGGGCACACACAACGGCACACTCTCACAAACAGACATGACAGACACGTAATTGCATCTCCACCCCGCTTGTCCAAACGTGTCCATGTGGGTGTCAGATCACCGACTTCACCGGCGCCACCTACCCCACCAGCCTGCAGGAGTCTATGGAACTCGTAAGTCCCTCTCGCTGGCCACACACGAACGCAGGCAGGCAGGCAGACAGGGAGGCACATGCATCTTTGAGCCTGCCTGTGTGTATGTGTGTGTGTGGTGCAGGTGATGCGCCGGCTGGAAGAGTTCAAGACCAGCGGAGCCCCTGCAGCAGCACCACCTGCAGCAGCACCACCCACAGGCGCGCCTACGACGCCCTCTGAGAAACTCTTCAGGTGGCGCGCACCGCACACACGCATACGAAGCCACACACTCGCCCGCCCGCCGGTGCATCAAATTCGTTTTCTGTTCGGCGCATTGCAGGGTGTTGGAGGCGTGGATCAAGGTGGGCGACAACGGGCAGAAGCTCGTGCAGAAGGTCAACGCGAGTTTCCACTTCGATATATTGACCAAAAAGGGCGGACCCATCGCAACCAGCTGGACCATCGACCTCAAGAACCCACCAGGTCCGCATTGCAAGGACGTTGCAATGCACCCCCGTCACACACACACACACGCGAAGGGGCGAGCAATCGTGCAATGGATGGGTCCGTATACGGGTGGGCTGCAGGTTCGATCTCTGAGGGCAAGAGCGGATCGTGTGATGCGCTATTCTCGATGGCGGATGCGGACTTCGTCAGCGTGGTGACGGGCAAGCTCAACCCGCAGATCGCCTTCATGCAGGTACACACCTACACACACCTACACGCGCACGCGCGCTAGTCATGTGTCCTATGTGTCTGGTTGTGTCGTTGTTTGTGTGCCCTGCAGGGCAAGATGAAGGTCAAGGGGAGCATGAAGGCCGCCATGAAGTTCACACCAGACCTCTTCCCACCGATGCCCAACGGACTCATGGAAATGGACCTCAACAAAGCTATCCAAACTTACTGCGGAGGTAACATCAACTCACCCACCACAGACACTCACTCCTCTCACACACACTTATATTTCTCTTGTGTTGCGTGTTTGCAGGCGCAGTACCACCTGCTGCTCCGTCAGCCCGACCTCCTCCAGCAGCAGCTGCAGCTGCTGGTCTGTCGTCAGCGGCCAGCCAGCTGAAGGCGGCCCCCCTGGTGTCCATGATGCAGACACACATGAAGACCACCGCTGGCAAACAGCTTGTCAACAAGGTGGGTGGGTTGGGTCAGCACAGCAGATAGATAGAAGATGGGCAGGCACCGAGGTGCACCTAAGTGGAGTGGACGGGTGGCGTGTGTGGGATGCGCGTGGTGTGCAGGTGGGTTATGTGTATCGGTTTGACGTGTTGCCCAAGAAGGGCGCGGCAGCCGTCTCTTTCACCATCGACCTCAAGAATGGTCAGCCGGCGCACACATAAAGGATTGTTGTGGCTTGCTTGAACCGTTGTGGTGTGACGCGGCGTGGCGTGGCGTGGCGTGATTTGTGTATCAGCTCCTGGCAAAATTGCCGAGGGAGCGCCGGAGGAGTGCGATGCCCACTTCACTATGGTCAGTCCGCACAGAAGAAAGAGAGACCGCAGGCAACCACGGAGAGAATTACTGCGTGTGTGTGCTCTGTGTGTGCAGGTCGATGAGGACTTCGTCAGCGTGGTGACGGGCAAGCTCAACCCGCAGATCGCCTTCATGCAGGTACACACACACATGAGCAGCCAAAGACACCGCATCCACTCCATCCCTGTGCACACACATCACATGCATTATGTGTCTTGTCTGGTTGTGTCGCTGGTTGTGTGAAGGGCAAGATGAAGGTCAAGGGCAGCATGAAGGCCGCCATGAAGTTCACACCGGACCTCTTCCCCGCACCATCCAAGCTGTGACGGACGAAGGAAGAGACGCAGTATACACACACATGCAGCCAGACAGACAGACAGACAGACAGCTGCCAAGGGGAAGGACGATATGGGTGATATGGGGGTATCTGTGTGCATATTTGCACTAAGTCTATCTGCCCCGTGCACTGCACACGACATGCGTGGGCCTTTCTCCATTGGTCCGGCCGACAGTGAGTGAGTGGCCGAGTGCCTGGGTATTTTCTGTATGTCCGAGTGGCAGTACACACCCTTTTTCAAGGTGGTCTGTGTAACTTTGTGTGTGTGTTGGTGGGGCCAGACAGTGAGTGCGTTTGTGCGTGTGATGCATTCATTGCCTGGACATCAGCACACGAGGGGGTGTGGGTGGATCGTTCAGTGGTGACTTTATTCATGGCAGTGCAGTGGCTGCCTCCACTCCAGCTGTGAATTCAGTTCTCGTGGGTGTGTCTCTTTCAAAAACATCATCCAACACACAGGCGCCATGTGTCCATGCCGCAATGCAGTGCCGCCATCGATGTGTGCGTGTGCATGGTGTGTCTCGTCACTTACCCAGTCGGCGTGTGTGTGACGAGTGTCCGTCGTCTTTACATATGTGCGTGTGTGTGTGTGTGTGAATTGCATGACCCTGTGTGTCTGACTGGTTGGTCGAGCAAGCTAAGCTACTTGTGGTCCCGGCCCGCACGTCAGAGCCGCCGTCACCAGCTAGCTACCACCGTCTGCACACATCACATGCAGACAGACAGTATACACATGTGCATATGATGGATGTCTGCTGCACCCACCCACCTGCTGTCTTGCGCACGACGCAGACGGCGTCCCAGGCCTTTTTGTTGACGGTGCTGATGACGCCGGTGTGGACCTCACAGTCGCCCTTCTTATGGTTGATCTCATACCCGGTGCACGACGGGGTGTCGAGGCACTTGTCGGCGCACTTCTTGTGCATCTCCTTCTTCTTGCCCTTGGCGTCGTCGAATGTGTACTTCGTGTAGTCCCCCTCCTCGTTCTTGCACGCCCCCGGGTCGCACCGACAAGCACCGCCTGACGGCCTCTCTGATCAGATCAAAGGCAGGCAATTAAGGCATGCGTGGCCGAGTGGATGCATATGGACGATTGATTCCTTTGTCACCGAATTCGCTATCTTGCAGGCCCCGTAGTTTGCTGTAAGTCTCAGCCTGCACACAGATGGACAAAAGAGAGAGAGGGCAGATCCATCCATATTCCATCCGCCCTCACCACAATGCGGACGTCGGAAGCGGTGACCGTCAGATCTTTCTCCCGGAACACGATTCCCGCAACCCCTGCGGGCAAATGGACAGATGCCACCATAGATCTAGCGTGCCGTGGTGTGTGTGGCCATCATCCATCCATACCATGCTGTGTGTGGTCTTCAACGCCACTGTCATTCTCAGCGGCCACGCTGGCGATGTTCACCCGGTCATGGACGCCCACACCATCGCTGGCATGCGTCGTGGGCAGGCTGGTGAGGCCAACAAGGCCAGCAGCAACGACAATCAACGCAAAGAGGCGCATCTTCTCCGCGTCTGGCTTGGCCGAAATCCTCTGTGGGCTAGGATGCGCCCCCCGGTATTACAACTTGAAGATGCTGGCTGAGCCGACTGATTTCCCGCCAGAGTGCCAGCGTGACTACTCCGTCCAGTGTTCCAAGTCCTTTTTCCCTGTCTCCACACAGGTAGCGTGCATCCAATGGCTGCACTGCATGATGTGACGCTGTCTTACCTGTGTGTCACTTTAGTGCTGGGCGAAGCCATCCTACAGTGGTCCCTGCGAGCGCAAGCAGCGAGGCATGGCTCAGATGAGCGACGAGCAGAAGGAGTCCTGGAGCATCGCGTGCGAGGACAACTACCCATGCCTGCCCGAACAATGTCCGCGAGGAACGGATTGGGAGCGCACTTGTCCAGCGGGGTAATGCTCCCCAACAAACACACACACACACACACTGATCTATCTGTCTTCATGCTACATCCTTGCAGCTGGCGCCATGTGTCCGGCGGGCTGTGTGTGGCGCCAGCTGACTTTGACCAATGCGACGCCAAGGTGCAGTTCGCCGCCTTCTCTTTGCAAGACAAACACGCATTCGCACAGAAATGCGGTCAGTCAGTGCACTGAGCAAGACACTTCGACATGTGCAATCGTCCGTCTACATGCAGGTGTGCGGTGGCCATGCCGGCGTCTCTCGTGCGCGCGAGACTACTCATCGGTAAGAGTGGAACAAACAAGAAGACAAGCATGCAGAGAGACACACCAACACGCCCTTGTATGTGTATCTGTGTAGGTGTGTCCCGAATACTGGCACGATGAGGGGGACTCCATCTGCCACGCCAACCCCAACATCTACACCGGGCCGTGTCCCATGTAAGTCAGTGGCCCACTCCATCCCACACATCACACAGAGACGCCCCAATGCACTGCACGCATTACATGTGTGTCTTGTCGTGTCCGTCCGGCAGGTACGCCAATCTGACAGGCTTCGACAACGAGCTCAAGGAGAACTTCGAGATCGTTTGCTTCGTCGCTTGGCCGTGCGCTTCACTGTGTGAGCGGGACTTCTCGGCCAAATGTCCGCTCGCCTGGCGGCTCCTTTGCCCGTGGATGTATGGATGAATGAATACGCTCATGCATTGCATTTGGGTCTTGTGGTCATCTCCCCGCATTCAGCCATGCACGGACTCTTTCTTTCTTCTTGTTCTCTTGATGAATGTCGCTCAGCGAGTGAGGGCGTGTGTGGCTGCAGCGGCGTGGAGGTGCTGCTTGAGCCACCGGTACTCACCCAAACTGACGAGACACAAATACACACAGACAGGGAGAGACACGCAGGCACTTCAGTGCACTCCTTCCCATCTGTCCATCTGCCCGGCTGACCAGGGCCAGTCGGCGTCGCATTCGGCGGCCTTCTTGCGTTTGGCCTTTACAGTGCACACACAACACAACACACGCACATACGTATGGGACCATGGGTGTGTGTATGCGGCGAGTGTGGTTTGTGGTACATACGTCATCGGATGCGTCGTGTGCCAAGGTGATGTTGGTGCAGACGCCTTTGTAGCCCTCGGGCGGCAAACAGGTCACGCCGCCTGCTGTCACGCCCGCGTCCATCCAGTCGATCGGGCATCTGAAATTGCACACACAGAAGGAAGGCACACACATGATGAAGTATAACTTTCTTCTTAGCTTATTCAGTGTCTGTCGCTACGTGCGGCGTAACGTGCCTGCTGGTGTAGTCGCGAGTGCATGTCTTGCGTGAGAGACAAGGGAAGTCCAGCTCACACTCATACGCCGCGCTCGCCACGCTGGCGGGCGGCAGGTCGGTGAAAGATCGGCGGGTTGGGCAGGCTGCGAAGCCGCGGGCCGGCAGGTAGACAGAGAGGGGGGCGAGGCACGTGCCGTCACTCAGGTGCCGCCAGGCGAGCGGACATTTGGCCGAGAAGTTCCGCTCACACAGTGAAGCGCACGGCCAAGCGACGAAGCAAACGATCTCGAAGTTCTCCTTGATCTCGTTGTCGAAGCCCGTCAGATTGGCGTACCTGCCGGACGGACACGACAAGACACACGTGTAATGCGTGCAGTGCATTGGGGCGTCTCTGTGTGATGTGTGGGATGGAGTGGGCCACTGACTTACATGGGACACGGCCCGGTGTAGATGTTGGGGTTGGCGTGGCAGATGGAGTCCCCCTCATCGTGCCAGTATTCGGGACACACCTACACAGATACACATACAAGGGCGTGTTGGTGTGTCTCTCTGCATGCTTGTCTTCTTGTTTGTTCCACTCTTACCGATGACTAGTCTCGCGCGCACGAGAGACGCCGGCATGGCCACCGCACACCTGCATGTAGACGGACGGTTGCACATGTCGAAGTGTCTTGCTCAGTGCACTGACTGACCGCATTTCTGTGCGAATGCGTGTTTGTCTTGCAAAGAGAAGGCGGCGAACTGCACCTTGGCGTCGCATTGGTCAAAGTCAGCTGGCGCCACACACAGCCCGCCGGACACATGGCGCCAGCTGCAAGGATGTATCATGAAGACAGATAGATCAGTGTGTGTGTGTGTGTGTTTGTTGGGGAGCATTACCCCGCTGGACAAGTGCGCTCCCAATCCGTTCCTCGCGGACATTGTTCGGGCAGGCATGGGTAGTTGTCCTCGCACGCGATGCTCCAGGACTCCTTCTGCTCGTCGCTCATCTGAGCCATGCCTCGCTGCTTGCGCTCGCAGGGACCACTGTAGGATGGCTTCGCCCAGCACTAAAGTGACACACCCGGGAAATAAATACATGCAGTGACACACACGTCATGCCATGCAGCCATTGGATGGCACTACCTGGGTGGAGACAGGGAAGAAGGACTTTGAACACTGGACGGGGTAGTCACGCTGGCACTCTGACGGGAAATCAGTCGGCTCAGCCAGCATCTTGTCGAGGGCCTCTTGCTTGAGCTCAGTTGGCTGTCGATGCATCAGAGATTGGTGCATGCAGACGCGATGGGTGGCTGTGTGTGGATCTCCACCTGTTCGCGCTTTTCGAGTGTCTCCTTGAGCGCATCGATCTCTTTTCTCTTCATCTCGTCCTGCGGGAACGATGGATGCACACAGCGTGTGTAATCTGTGTGCGTGTGTGTTTTACGCCTTGTGGGTCGTCTCCCAGCATGTCTGACTCACTAAACGTCTCTGAATGATCACAGACAGACAGACAGACAGACAGACAGAAGGTGAGACACGCGTGTATTCACGGACAATCTGTGGTTGTTTGTGTGTGTTGGTGCCTTCAGCGCTGATGATTGCTGAGAGGGGCCCTCCGATTTTGCTCGAGCGGCGCTTGTCTGCGTCGGTCTGCGGCGGCGCCTTGAAAGGCGGATTCTCTTCACAAAACACACAACCAGTACAACGACATGCATGGGAGGCATTTTGATCGTACCTTTGTGGAACTGTGCCTCAGCTGCACCCTCAGCGCCCCTCAGTGCAGTGGCCGCGTTCGTGCCGATTGCATCTGTTTCCTTGTCGAGCTCCATCGGACTTTCCTTGGTGCTGCCGGGCTCATCTGCGGATGTGTCGATCGGGATGGTGGCTTTCGATGGTTTGAATGGCTGTCTCTTGAGGATGGACACGCTGGACACGCAATGAGCGGTGGCCGCAATGAGACACAGAAGCAGCAGGCGCACCATCGTGTCTCGCTCCCTGGTGTCTTTGCCTCAGCGCGGTCTCTCTGTCTCTCTTTAATTTCCGTGTGGTGTGTACTGCGCCACGTACTAATACACACACATACAATACATCCAGGAACATTTCATTCAGCCAGGTAAGGTAAAGCGCCTCGATCATCGTCAGTGTCTCACACGTGCACGTCACCCTCATTGCCATCATTGCCTGCTTGTCTTGTCTGTCGTGTCTCGGGATGAATTAGGTCACTCACTCACTCAGCGACTCACTCACTGGCAAGTGAGTCCACATGCATCGCATCGCATCTATGCGTCACTCTGCTTGAATCTCGTGAATGCATTCTGGACGAGAGTGGTCTTGGCGACGAGCGGGTGGTCCGGACACACACTCTTCAGCCGACTGCACAATCACAATCACAATCACACGCAGGTCAGTCAGTCAATCACCCATTCATCAAATCGATCGTCGATGAGATGAGTGACATTGCTCGCCCACTTGTAGCACTGCTCTGCGTCCTCGTCCTTCCTCAGGTGACGATACACCGCTATCAGATTCGCCAACGTGGGAATGTCGTCACCATTCTGTTGCTGTGCTCGTTGGAGGTCTTCGAGCGCCTCCTGCCAGTTGGAGCGGGCCATGTTGGCGACCGCCTTGCCGTTCAGCAGCTGCACCGAACCCAGCGACTTGCTCTCGTCAGCTGCACACGCACATACACACATACAAGCATGCAACCATCCCTTCCCCACACACAGACGTGGTGGTGGATGCCATGCTCACCGTCCTCGGTTTCCGTCGGGTACTGTGCTTGCACGTCGCAGTATGTCAGATAAGCCTCCTGGTAGTTGCCCGTCCCTGAGAGAGATGAGATGCATGTGGTGTGGATGGCCAGCCGCCATTACAGGAGGACGGACTCACCCTGGTTGACCCAGCACGACGCGAGTTTCGTCACGGCCGCATCCTCGTTGGTCGAACTCTGACACACACAGACATGCAAAGACACACAAGGGAGCCATTCAGCCATCACGCACGGAGTGACTGACTGCGCGTGAGCGCATACCATTTGCTCCAGTTTCTGCTCGGCGAGGTCTACGCGGTCCATCAGCATGAGTATCTGGATGTGGAGCGCCTGCCTGCAGACACACAAAATGCAGACACACAGAGAGGCAGACGCCCGTTGAGAGAGAGAGAGAGCCACCAGGTGGCAGGCAATATTGATTGCTTACATCTCGAGTGTGGGGGTCTGCAGTGTCTCTTGCACGGCCTTCTGCAGGTCGTCAGAACCAGCCAATAACGCCGCGCTCAGATACTGCGCCGTGGCATCCTTGCTGGACTCACTCAGCTGCTTCACACCCTCCAGCAGCTCCCTCTTCGCACCCTCCTCCGTCTGAGGGACACACACACAAACAAACGAACCACAATATGGTTCCTGTCTTGCGCACAGGTCAGGCTCACCGTTTGTGCATATTTGGCTGCGATGGCGACTGCCTGCAGTGAGGGCGACGCGGCGGTTTCCCACTGCCTGATGGTGGCGAGATCTCCCATGGCGACCTTGGCCCTTGCCACGAGTGCGTCCCTCTCGGCCATGGCCATGTCGTTGTTGGGGAAGGAGCCCTCGGCGAGGCTGATGGCCTTGTCGTAATTGCCCACATAAAAGTGATCACGGGCCTGTGTGTGAGATAGACAACAAACATACACAACAAACAGGACAGTCAAAGGAAGGAGCAGCAGACGAGAGACAGAAGCTTTGCCTGCCTACTGTCTGCCTACTTGCGTCAGCTCGTCCTCGTCCATCTTGACGCACAAGGAGCTTAGGACAGTCCGCGGGTTGAGCAAGCAACCCTGCACTCGAAACCCTACTGTTTCACCTGTCAAGTTTGGCGGCTTCTGTGATGGTTGTAGGAGGTTGACATTCACTTAGCCTTGACAAAGGAAAGATGGCAGTGTTCATCGCACGCAGCATAGGCCTCCAACAGGGCGGGCAAGCGCTCTCTCCCCGGCCTCGGTGACACAATGGGCATGCAATGCAGACACTCACACCACAAGCAGCGCACAGACAGACACCCACGGCAAGTCAGTCACTCAGGATCTACAAGATGGCAGCCAGCCCACGCACTCGCACTCTCCCTCACTCCCACACACAAACGCAATCCAATTGTCGGTCGATCCGTCTTCAGTCTGTCCCTCGGGGGATCAAAAAGATGAGCCCAATCGCCCGTGAGCCAGACACCCCTCCCTCGCAACACACTTTGCACAACCGACACGTCCACACACGGCACGACACGAACAGCAGCAGCCCAGCCTGACAGTGACACTCACCCAGTGAAGCAATGAATGGCTCACGCACGCACGCACGCACGATGGATGGATGCTTCAGGCAGGCAGATGCAAAAACACTTATCGTTCCCCGACCGAGTAGCTACTGCTTGCCCGCCTCCGATACGACAGACTTGCCTGCCTCCCTGTCTGAGATTCTTGCCACCCCGTCGGCTCCCGCCTTCTCTGGTCAAACACCACCGAACGACACACAACAAGACAGACAGACGGCTAGGTGCGCACTGGTCATAAACCAGTGCAGTGCACGGCGGTCGCTGCCTTGCAGAGCTTGCAGGCTGGCTGTCAGAGAGAGGGGGACGGGAGAGGGGAGTGAATGAGCAGACAGGTCGGGAGAGGAGAGAAGTGCTACAGGGGAAAAGATTCGATCACCCAGTCAGTCAGTCAGTCAGCCAGTCAGTCGACCACCCAACCCACACGCAGTGTCAGCCACTTAGTTATCACCACACCACACGCACACGCACCCAAAAGCAGCCACCCGCCCGCCCGTCCAGGAAGTCACAATGAATGAAATGCAGCCGACCGCAACACGACCAACCGACCGACCACCCAGTCTGTGGCCGAAGTGCACTCGCGATGGCGATGGCTGCTCGTGGCTGTCTGTCACGGTGTCCTCTTAGGCGCCGTGCACCTTGACGTGCTCCTTCTCCACCAGACCCTCGCTGATCAGGAACTCAGCTATCTTGTGCCTGCGCCATTCATTCACAAGCCAAGCACAACAAACGTGTGTGTGAGGAAAGAGCGCCTCTCTCTGGGTCGTGTGTGACTCACCGGTGGTCGCCCTGCACCTGGATCACATGCCCTAGTTCAGGGTCATCGACGATCGTGCCATTGCAGTTGAAGTTCTGCACACACACACACACACACACACACACACAGAGAGAGAGAGAGAGCCATGAGCGCGTGCCACGTGCCGACTGACATTCGTACCTTCTTGAAGGCCTTGAGGAGTTTTTTGTAGTCGAATTGTGTGGAGAGTCCCTGAATGGTGGTCAGAGACTTCCGGCCGTTGCGCTGCTGATTGCGAATGTGGACGTAGTTGGCACCACCTCCAGGCAGGGAATCTCCAACACCATCGGCGCCTTCGTCAGCAAAGGGATCTGATGGACAGACGGACGAATCAAGCAAGTCACCACACACAATCAGACAGACAGATCGACATTAAGACACACGTGGGTCAGGTTAGAGGTGAGGAAGCTGCCCGTGCCCGTCTCGCGTGGGTGCTCTCTTACCGATGCCGCCCAGTTTACCGAGGGTATCGACGCTCATGCAAGCAGATAACCTGAGTGAGACACGACAACACACATCATCACCGCCCGTCCCCAGCACATGTGATTGAGACACTCCATGCAAGGCACCAAGCAAGCATCCTCCCGCACCACTGCCTCCCCCACACCCACACACACCGTCCTGTCTTCCCCCCTGCCCCTCTCTCGCCCGCCTCCTAGCCAGAGAGGCACACTATGCTGGCGGAACGGCCACTGACGGTCTTCTGACTGTGCGCACGGCACCCCTCCTGCCTCCCCGTCGCCCTGTGTCCCCTCTCTGACTACACGTGTGTGTGTACGTGCCCACCTTCTGTGTGTGATAGGACTCCGCCCGCTGGGATGCTCTTCGAACGCGAACTCGCTGGTACTCTAGTACTTCGACAGCCGAGGCGATAGAAAGGAACAGAAACTCACGTAGACAGACAGGTAGCTGCAATTGGCGAGCTATCTTGCGAGCCGAAGTGCGAGCTTCACGACAGGAATGCGTACTTCGCAGCATTCGAGTTAATTAGCGAGTCTGCAGCACTCTGACTAGCCTACGGCTGCCCTCACTCGAACTCTCACAGTCGGCACTTCCAGGACGTTCTGACCTCCATGACCGCCTATGTGGCCCACGCCGGACGTCCAATATTGGACAGCGGCGCCGCCCGGAAGCCCACCCGGCCCCAGCACCCCAGAGGCTCTCCTCCCAAGGCCGCACACCCCGCACACAAACCGCAAGCGGCACCCGACCAGCCACGGCTGCTGAAGCCCGTCCAAGTGGACGACTGGGCGACGCTGACAGCGCTCGACAAGCAGGATGCACTGCGTCAGGACTTGAGGCGGCGCATCGAGTTGGTCAAGGCCAGCATGGAGGTGGGCTCTCAAGAGACGAGGGCGGAGGTTGAGCACTGGAAGGAGAGGATAACGGAGCTCAGGATGGGGGAGGGGGAGGAGCATCGCGGACGGAGGGAGGAGAAAGACACCCTCGTCAGCGCCATCAACGAGTGTAAAGGTGGGTGAGCGATCTCTGCCAGGCAAACAGGCCTTCCATCTCTGTGTCTTGTGTTGTGTTGTGTATGTCAGCTCGGCAGGCGAAGCAACGGGCCTTGCTGGCTGAGCGTGAGCGCACTCTGGCGGCCATCCGAGAGGCCAATCAGGCCAAGAAAGCCGCCCTCGCCCACACCCGCGCCACCGTCCTCGAGCCCGCCCGCCACCACAACCGGTGTCTGGCCCACGACCTGCAGCAGAAAAGGCACCAGAACAACCACCAGGCCGAGGAGGACACGCAGCGGCGCGCGCGGGACAAGGACCTGAGCAGCGTGAGCCGGAAGCGCGATGCTGTCGAGTGGCTGCGGCACATGGTGATGGATGAGGAGACGTCGCTGAATGTGCTGCATGCCATTGAGAGAAAGCTGCTGGAGCACCACTTTAATAGCCGCCGGCCGCGGAAATAGCCGGGCGACGGCCGTCTATCACATGCCCCCGCACGACCATCAGCAGCTGCACCAGCACCAGCACCAGCATCACGGAGAGAGAGGGGCGGCGGCAATGCGCAGCAGTGATATCGGCCAATCCTGCGGACAGGTATGGGGGTCTCTGTAACACCCAGAGGCTGTGCGTGTCTGTTCGTGTGTCGGCTGAGTGTCATGGCTGTGTGCCGTGGCTGATTGATATCAATGGCCGGCCCTCTTTCTTTCAAGAGAGAGCGAGTATTGCGTGCTGCGTGCCGTGCGTGGTATCATCAGGGGGGCCCTGCCCTCCCTCTTGTGCTGTCTGTGTGCGTGTAAATACCTATCTGTTTTTCGGAAGGTGGCGAGTGTGGCCATGTGGCCAGCGGCGGTTGTGTTAACCCTGTTAGGTGAGGCCCCTCTCTCTCTCTCTGTCTTACCACTGAGTGCTGAATTGCGTGCGTAGCTTTGCCTCACTGTCTGCCTGTCTGCCTGGGACACACACGGTGTGGTACGTTTTTGTGTGTGATGGCACATGACTGCGATCGCATGGGACACTGATTGATGCCTGGCCTGAGTGGGTAAGATTTCACTTCTTGCCGCCCTGCCCTGTGTGTGCCGGGATGATCGATCAATCAGCCAAGACACGTCCCACCAACAAACACACCACACCATACCGCCACCACACCACATCACGCAACGCAACGGAACACGCCCAATCAGTCAAAACTCCCCCAAACAAGACAAGACAACATGAGACAACACAAACATTCAAAGGGCGAAGCGAGTGTGCAGGTGAATGCATGCAGCGGGGAGGGGGGGAGGGGGCGGGGGGCATACACACATCCACACATGCACCCTCAGACAGACAAGACACAGGAAGGGCAAGTTGGGGGGGGGGGGGG